GAAATAATACATTGCAGTGAAAGCAGAAAAACAAACTCGAGCACAAAAAGTTCAGTTTTATACCAAACATTGTCAGAGGCAAATTAGTAGCACAGCAGCCAAAACAAGTTTAATGGCACAGCGGCCAACAACCAAACAGCACAGCATGTAATAGAATGGAATAGAACAGAAGGGAATAAAAACAGCTTCAATATCAAATACCTTCCTGTGCATATGTGTACATTCACACAACCAAAAAGAGGCTGGGCAATACAACTTAAAGGAATATCGCAATACTAGAAATATTGTATTTTTGTATCATGAGGTCAATTGTATTAAAAGTTGCATAGACATATTAAAATTGCTCTAAATACAGCAACACCACACAAAAAACATGAGACGTGAGTTTTAATTAAAGTCCATTCACTGTTCCCGTGTTTGTTTGAATAACTTGATTTTCGAAATTCACAGTTGGTTTATGAAATTGTGGAAGAGAGGGAAATTATACATTGCAGCGAAAACAGAAAAACAAACTCAAGCAGAAAAAGTTCAGTTTCATACCAAATAATTGTCAAAGGAAGATTAGTGCCACAGCAGCCAAAACAAGCTTAATGGCACAGCGGCCAACAACCAAACAGCACAGCATGTACTAGAATAGAATAGAAGCGCTTCAGTATTGAATACCTGCCTGTGCATATGTGTACATCCACACCAACACATAAGACTGGGCAATATAATTCAAATGAGTATCATTATATGAATCAGGATTATTTCTTATTTGTATCATGAGGTCAAATTAAACCAAAGCCATTGACATTAAATGCCAGAAACGTGGAAAAATGAAAAACATAAATTGAAATGTGAGTTTTCATTGGGTTTAATTTACTTTTACTGTAATATTGTTTTTCTTTACATGACGTAGTGAAATAAAAACTTGATTTAGATGAGAATAACAAAATGAAACTTCAATAATTAATTGATTTATAGCTCAGTCTTATCACACACAACCAGCAAATGCAGTATAATACACAGCAGAGGAAAACAAAATGGTGTCCTACCTTTTGAAGTCCAGCCTCGTGTCCAACTTGATGTCCAACTTGTCCACATCCCTCCAGCTGCGATAAATAATCCACAATAAAGTCTCCGTGTTCTTAGAAGCCCTCCATTTTGTCCAGTAAATCCAAGTTTGAGCCTCGCTGCTGTTCATCCAGGTGTGTGGCAGCAGGTAGCTCCCAGCAGCTAGATGCTAAGCTAACTCCACCTCCAAACGACGAGTCCAGCTGTGTGCTGCGTGTTGTTTGTAGAGTCTCCATGAGGTGAAACTTGATATATATCACCCAGCAGTGTGTATTTGCTTCTCCTCCGTTGAGTAGCTTCTCCTCTTCTCCTGCCAACAGCAGGTTCTGAACATGTGCTAATGTTAGCATCAGTTAGCTTGAACTCCTCCTGTCAAACGTTTCCCGGCTCTGAGCACCTGTCGCTCCGTGACGTCACGTTTTTTTTTTTCCCCTAATGTCAGTTTTCCCTGGAAATGAGCAGGGAGACCCCTGATTGACCCAAACAAAGATGGCTGCCAAGGTAGAGAGATAGTGTGACCCCTGATTGACCCAAACAAAGATGGCTGCCAAGGTAGAGAGATAGTGTGACCCCTGATTGACCCAAACAAAGATGGCTGCCAAGGTAGTGAGGTAGTGTGACCCCTGATCGAATCAAACAAGATGGCTGCCAAGGTGGTGAGGTAGTGGACTGTGGAAGAGTGTTTCCTTCCCTTGTTCCCTCTTCTCGTCTCCTTCTAGGTACTGTGCGTCCTCCTTTGTGATGTTTATCACAGCTCACCTGTTAGTTAGCTAGCTGTCTAGTTAATTGGTCAGCTAGTTAGCTATTTGTTTAGTTAATTGGTTAGCTAGCTGTTTAGTTAATTGTTAGCTAGTTGTTTAGTTTATAGTTAGCTAGTTCGTTTAGTTCGCTCCTATCTTGTCTGCTTTTAGGAAACTATAAAAAAATACCTCCCACTCTGTTCCTCAGTTAGTTAGTTAGTTAGTTAGTAGGTAGGTAGTAAACACTCCCTTGTTCCCTCATCTCTTCTACTTGCAGCATTTCTAAAAGACTTGGTGTCTTTTAGTGTGTAGCCGACCTGTTTGTCAAGTTAGTTAGTTAGTGTACGTGAAACTTGAAACTTGACTCCTTGTTCCTGCATCTTATGTCCTTGTATAATCGGTGTAACATGCTTATTGTTCCAAGCGTTCCAAAACTCACCTGAACCCACGTAGCCACATAATCCTACACATTCATAAAGATATTTACATTTTTAAATCCGCTTCTTACTCTCAGCTACTTCACGGAGTGGCACCGTAGACAGGCTGTACTAAAATGAAAAATGGCCCAGAGCATATTTTGAATTATTTTAATTAAGGACACGTTAAAAAAAAACCAGAAGCCCTAATTAATTATCATTTAGGCGTCCTGGAGAGAATGAAACAGGTCAAGCATGAGCTTCTTTGATGCATTACTGTTACAGGCCTTTTTTCACAGTTGCCATTTTAACATGAAATAGTAGGTGTTAATGAAGAACAATAATGGAGCTTCTATTTATGTACCCAACATAACTTAATGTGATTAGTAACACCTGCGTTTACCTCCTATTTCATGTCAGAATGGCTTCTGTGAAAAAGATCTATTGCTTCTTGCTCCCAAAGTTATGGCACTAGTTTTTGTTTTGTTTTTTATTGAATGGGTTTTGGCAGTTTCAGTGTAGTAAATCCCCTGTTGATGTGAAAAGGAATGTCTCGCTGTATTTTGGTTTTGGAGGCTCGAGCCACAATTATTTTGTCTTTTCTGTCTGCATTTCTTTTCAACGTAATGTCTGAGCCGTGGAAAAGGCTACTCCAACCTTATGGCATCAGATTTGAGCAGTGCAAGTCTAGGCAATTGTTTTGCAGCTGTCTGTATCTCACAAATCTGTTACTGTTAAATCAGTTGATACTTATTAATATATATATATTTATTGTTAATATATTCATATTTTATATCACGAACTAGACCCATTAAAGAGCCACTCAGGTAAATAACGGGAGATAAATCCTTTCCAGTCTTTATGGCCAGAAGTCTGGACGTTGAGTAAATCATATGTTGCTATAAAAATTGTTTTATGGACATATTTACTAATAAGCTTGTGCCCTACTTTCCCATTGTTAATCATAAGTGACACATCATATTAAAGCTAATTAAACCTGGGCATCACTAGGGAACCTTTAAAATAGTAATTATGGTAATAATTGTGGCTCTTCAGCTCTGGTGCCCAACAAAAGCAAGTTTTAGAAGAAACAGATTTGAAATGGGGTGGATGGTGTAATGTACTGGGCTTCGTCATTGCCTGATTCATAATATTCTTCAGCACCAACTAAAATTAAAGCAGAATGTTTTGACGACAACATCTGCCTGAACATATAACAGGAATAAAGATGATGGATAAAGATTTCAGTATTTAATCTGTTCCTTTAGTTTATAGAGGAGAGATATTGTTCATGTTATTAATAAAATTACAATCTTTAAAACTATTTACAGGAAATGTTCTGGGCTCTAGTTGTGACCCAACAAGGGTCACGTACTGAAAGGAAAATGAATTGAATTGAATAGCAATAAATAATGTCCCACGGGTGAGAACACCATCATCCCATGCTATGCTCGTTGGGTTACGGGGCAATTTGCCCTGAATCACCAATCACTCCCAGTGTGTTTCTGCTTGCATCTGCTTGTTGTTTTGAACGCAACCTGCGGAGAATTTATCGCTGCATCTCAAACTTTCTCTCCTCGCCTTTCCATGGCCGGCACTTTGATGGAAGCTCAGTGGAAAATTGGCGATGTGCAAATTATTGCTTACTAGTGGGTTAGAGAGAGAGAGACTAAATTAAAAAAAGAAAATCAGTGTTAGGGTGGGGATCCATTCAGTCATTATGGCTGCAGGACAGTAATTAGTATTCAGTCAAATGACAACAGATGGAAAAAGAGAGTTCTCATCCAAGAGAAGCCAAAACAGTCACCATATCCATCCAGTTATAGCAGTACTTGAACAGAACCCAAACTCAATTACAAGTGAAGAATTAGAGCACAGGCTATGAAGAGGAACAAAACATACCCAGTTCTTTCAATCTTACAAAAATGAAACCGAAATATCCAGGATATGGGTGCAGCAGAAAGATTTATTCTGCACCTTCTTTTTTTTGTAGTGATCAAGGTGATTTGTCTTCAGGAGCTGTGAATAGATGCATCAGTGTGCATCCTGTAATATGACTGCTGTTCAACAGTGTTGTTGGAAAGTCCATGAGATTGATAAGAAGGGAAAAATCCATATCCATACCGTGGTGATGATCACTTTGCATTAGAGCCCTTAAATATTTAAAATGCTCTGAATTGCATAACTGATCTCTGCAGGGAGGTAAACATAACTATATCAATAGGCTTTCTGCCAACAGCACAGAATGTGTTTGTCTTGTACTAAGAGAGCCGCCCTGGATCTATATTAACAAAGCTGCTCTCTGACTGCAGTGGTGATATTTTTGCAACTGCGCTAAGAGTCATCTGGTCACAGACCTCGGCTGCCAGGTGAATGTATTAGAAACTGTTCTTGTGGGGAGCGAATGTTTACCTCCAGTTTTCTGATCTCTCCCACTTTGAGAAAAACCACCATCTCCTCTCTCACATAATAGTCATGCTTGAATAGAAATGAGCCCACAACGTTGAAGACATGTCACTGCAGCATAATTGCACTTCAGAGGGAATACATTATTTATTAGAGATTTAGCCTCATTAATCTGAGGGACGTTCTGGAAGTTTTTTCCTCATGACTTAGTGTTTTGCAGATCTCTGCCGAAACATGAATTTGCTCTTTGATGCGCAGTCACTTTCCTCGACTGTCTGTGTGAAATACTGTTCTTTGACAGCTCTCCCCCAGTGCTTTCAATGAATCATTATCTGTGCCAATGTTTGCACTCAACCTGTCTTTTCCCTCTTTTGTCTTGCAGCTGCACACTGACCTTGATAAGGGGGACAGTGTGGTGAAGTACACTCTCTCGGGGGATGGGGCTGGCTCTATTTTCACAATTGACCAAACAACAGGGGACATCCATGCCTTAAGGAGTCTTGACAGGGAGGAGAAGCCTTACTACACCCTGCGCGCCCAGGCTGTTGACATCAACTCCAATCGGCCGCTCGAGCCCGAATCTGAATTTGTAATCAAGGTTCAAGACATCAACGACAATGAGCCAAAGTTCCTTGAGGGACCGTACAGGGCCAGCGTCCCCGAGATGTCACCAGTAGGCAAGTGACCATCTGTAGTGACTTGTTCTGTACACTAAACATGGGACACCAGTGCTTTCATTAATGAATTGGAATTCCTTGCAGCGATAGCTTTGTTTCCTCCTCTTTAACTGAGTCTCAGGAACATCAGTGGTACAACCAGAGGGTCAACCAGCAAAATTTGATTCTTGGAGTGACCAGAGTATATTTCACAGCTCTCTCTTTATACACTCCCCCTCTTTCCTGCCTCCCGCTTCCTACCTCCACCCCTCCAGGGAGGACTGATCAAGCTAATTCGCTGAGAGAATGGTTCCTCTTGATCTGAATGGCAATGAAGCCCTCAAAAACTCCACAATCAGCGGTCTCTGGAGTCTTTGTAGAGAGCAGGAGCAGCACAGCCCCAGTCAACCCTTGAAACCACGCACCTCTCTGAAACTGTTATCGAGTCACAGAACCTTTTATGTTTATCAAAAACACATCTAGCGTGGCCACACCGCCCGGAGATGATCAATTACATGATTGGCAGAAAAATAATTAGTTTTGATTCAGATAATCACTTGTAATTTTCCAAGTGAAATTATTTCAAATTGTCATCTTGCCGTGGATTACGATCTTCTCTTCATCTTTTATTTTTGTTCAATTTCATGCTGGGCAGTCTACATAATTAATCTTAGATCTCCTCTTTAGTTATTATGAATGGGAACATTTCATTATCTTATCTCTTTTATTATTGGCACTCATGTAATTTTATTTGTCACTTTCACAAAGTTGTGGAGGTCAGACTATTAAATAATGTGAAGACATATCACGACTTTTAGTGCCTAGTATGAATTATGCACCTAAAACTCTAGATCCTATATTTCCCATAATGCAACTGGATATAATAAACATATATAAATCTTCACCAATCCACACTCTAACTCTGTAAAAACAGCTTTTTATTATGAATTCATAGTTTTAAACTGATTTGAAAACATTATACATTTGATTTTAAAGACTGTAGCACTTCTTGTGATGAGTAAAGATAACTTCACGTGTCTACCCCTTTTGATAATAGAGGGATAAAGTTAATTACGCATGATTAATTAAGGCAATTATTCATGTTAATTGTTTCATCCAAATTATGACTCATTATTTTTTAATTGGAGGCTAACTCTGAATGTACGGTATAGTTTTAAAGTTTTACTTTCTAAACAAATATTAACGAAAGAATATTCCCAGGGGTAATTTCCACATTAAAGAAAATGTCATCAAGATCTTTGTGATGATATAGAAACAGTTTAAATGCAGAAAATTGTCAGTGCTCGCGTGGCTGGAATTGGAAATGCCACAGTCTCAGAGTGAACGTATACCGCCAGGCAAATGAACAGCTTCTGATTAGAAAACTTAACTTATGAAGCCGTAGGTTTAGAAATAACCTTCACTGTCAAACATTACAGTTGCTACCACAAAAAACACATGGAACGCTGATAATTGCTGTGGAATTATGCAGAGCAACACCTCTGTTAAAAGCAGTTTTTTGTTGAGAATTCAATTGTGGGTTTTAAACATCCCTGCACAGACTGTGTGAGAGTTAACCTTTACTTTCTGTGCAAAAACTAACACTGCAGGAGAGAACCAAGTCTCTAATGCTATTTTATACCAGCAAGACTTGTGTAATCAATGGGATCATTAACTGTTGTTGTCTTTGGCTGGAATGTCTCAGTGGATGTGTTTTTTATGTGTGCGGGGCAAAACAAATACTAGACGGAGAGAGATGCCGAGCATAAATATGCATTAATGGTTGGTAATGAAGACTAATCTATGGCCAAACATTATAAACTGGCTAATGGCAATAATCCAGAGGCTCCTTTAGAGTTGTTAGCAATGAGCTTATCCCTGATTCATTTAGAGAAGTGACAAATAAAAAAATACTTAAGAGAGAGTCCAGAAAACAGCAGCCTGTGTAATTACCACAGGCTGTCTGTGGCTTGATTAATTTGTTGATTTCACTCCTTGTCCACAAACTTGCCTTTTGTTTTTTGTACCTTCGCAGTAGTCAGATCCTGCACTTTTACAATTCTTTATCTGTACATGTGAATTCAAGACGTGCTTTATACTTCAAATGTAGCCGATTAATGTGCATACATTAGGTTAATTTGGTTCCTCTGGATTGCACTGGAACATCATAGTAAAATGCCAAATGCTGCATTGTAAAAAAAATATTTAATGAAGCCAGATAGACAATCTATATTTAGCAAAACTCCTCTGTGCATTCATCTCCTGTGTTTACCAGCAGTGACCTCTGCAGCTGCATCTCTTCCAGTCCTTACTCACACAACTGAATTACCATAATTATGCAAATATATTTTATTTGACTTGTTTATAGTGTCGCACCCTAAGATAGGCCGTTACCTTTTGTCGCCGGGGAAAGCGCAGGCGTCAGCCGTGCAGAAAGGCTTTTAAACTTTCACAACATCTCCGCTCTTATGTGGATTTTCTCTCCTTTGGTGAAATCGGAGCGTGTTAATGTCTTATCTCATCTATTGTATACGTTCGTGCTGAACACGAGGATTGAGAGAATCTCTGTCACCTAATGTTTTAATGCCATTGTTACCATCTGCTCAGACTGCAAAGCCTAATGTAAGCAAGTTCTTTACAGGGAACTAAGAGCTTAGCAGGATTTTGAAATGACGATGCCATCCTGCAATTTTACAAAAATCCTGCAAAAATATTTTACATAGCAAGTTTTAAGAGGGTTTGGTGATTGATAGTTGTACATATGGAAACAGAGCTGTATAAATCTAAGAATCACCAGGCCTGTGTGTTTGTCTCTTAAATTAATTCATACAGATTTTTGTTGGTTACTCCAACTGGATATTTGTGATTGAATCTGTTGGATATAAATGCACAGTAAACTACAATGGCAGCCAGTCGAGTATGTACCTCAAGCAAGGCCCAACAGTCCCTTTAAATTCTGCACGAAATCCATCAAGTTTATTTGGACATAAATAACCTGTTGATTCCAGACTGAATCCACATCTCAGCTACACGTCTGTGTTAGTTACAGGTTTCTAACCATATTTCTTACCGTACAGCAGTTAAAAACAAACTTTGCCCCTATGAAACCAGATTCCACTCCACTTGATCCAGATTTGTATTTGGATGCACATCAAATTGCACACTCATGGCCTTAATATGCCTGATATTAATTCACTTAGAGATGCTTGAGTCATTTTGCTGTGGCATGAGGTTCGTTCCTCACCCGGACCTTTGCTGCATGTGCAACCACACCTTCTTCACACATTTCATTCATAGCTGCCTGTCAGTAAAGGTGAGATATCATGAGATGAGATCAAAAACAAAAGCAAACCAATAAACAAACCTCCCCATAGTCCCTCTGTGGTGGAGGTAATAAGCAGTGTGTTAGTGGAATGATGTTTTCAACACCAGCTAGTTAAAGGAGATGAGTCAAAACTGCTGCAAGTAATTATTCTGCCCCCGTTAGTGCAGGAGTTTGGAAGACTGCCATCTCAATACTATTCTTTATTTTCTTAATGGTAGTGTTGTTTAATGAATGGTTGCACTAGAGCATTTTTACTCTTGTTAATTTATTTATTTCCTCTAAATAATAGTCTCTTAGTAATGCTATGAATGTGCAAATAGAAAAAACACACACACACACACAATCACGACAGGAAAATGAAACAACTTCTAAACACATTCAGTCCCCTCCGCACTCCTCCTCTGTGCACTCTATCAGGGACTCTGACTGCTCTGCATTAGCCGTACCTTTCTCAGTTGTGATTCACCGATCATTAGTGTCAGCTGAGATCATTCGGTAAACTGATGAACTTCAAAGAGTTTGGATTTCAATCTCACGAGGAAACCAATTAAGTCAAAGTCGATAAGTCTTCCCACCGTTTTCCCACAGGGACGTATGTGACGCAAGTGACAGCCACAGACGCAGACGACCCCACGTACGGAAACAGTGCGAGAGTGGTGTACAGCATCCTCCATGGCCAGCCATACTTCTCTGTTGACCCCAAAACTGGTAAACTACTTATCCTTCTTTCTGTTGTGTATTCATGTGACAAAATGGTGATGTAGTCAGAGTAAAGTTCACAAACATGTTTCTATTTTGTTTAAAGATATGCGACTCAGACGTGACAGAAAATACGTGCTTATGTTTTATGGGCACCTGCCGACAGCGGTGAGGAAATCTCGCTGTGAAATAAGGTTATCTAGGCCATTAGTCTGGAAAGATATGAATGATTGAGTGTCTTCTAAACAGTGAGTGTAATATAATGTGGACTTGCGGAACCATACATCAGGACAATAAAACAGGCTCATGAATTGACCCCTGAGACACAAAAGGACACATGCTCTCAAGAAAAGACAGTGAATTATTTATTTGACAGCTATTAAATAAAGAGTCACTTGTAGCAGTGAAATGAAACAGCACTGATATCAAGCATACACCATTATCGGTGGGATAAATGTAGACTATAATACATTTTATGAAAGAAAGATTGATATTAAAATATATCAATATAATCCTTATAATTTGTTTCTGGTGTAGTGGCTCTAAGGAGCTCGGTCGGTGGAAAAGCGGAATCACAAAACCTTATGGATAAACTCATCTGAGACATGTTTGCCACAAAGATACTGAGGAGTCAGTGTTTTATAGAGATGGTCAGCAAACCTTATCGTAAATTAAATCACAGAAAGACAGTAATAATTACAATTATATGAAATAATTATAAAATAAATTGGACAATTTTTTCAAAATAATATTGGGGTTCAGTGGGCTGATTTTTTTAATGCTGAATTATCGAACATCAGGCTTGTGTCGGGTTGGGACACAAAAAAACAAATCTCTGACAGGTTCAGTTAGTTTTCTCTTGAGCTCTGACGGATTCAGAAAAATCTCTGGTGGAGATGCGTCGTCCGTCTTCAAGTAGAGTTCACGATTGCAAACAGACAAAGTAAGACAAATAAAACAATAACATTTCATGCAGAGACTTTAACAGTGTTAGCGTTAGTTTTCACTTTATTTATATCTACACTCTGCTGGATGGTGTCACAGGATAAAACTGACAGTAAAAAGGTTGTGGAGTGGCAGCGAGAGGGGGCGTAGCAGACGACTGCTCTAAATCGGAAATACCTTCATAGCACCGGTGTTTGCCGGCAGTTGGCTGCTGTTGACTTACTATTTGGGACAGTTCAAAGCATTTGAAAATAGGTTCATGCATATCACACGGGCAGATCCTGTGGAATCTGTCGCTGATTATGCCACTTACAGAGCACATCCTGTGACTGCATTTCAACCTGACGCTGGGAAAAAAAAAATCAAACTGTTAAAGCAAATGTTTGCCCTGCTGGGCCTGCATCCATTTCCAAACACACGTCAACAAACAGTGGGAGGAAAAAGGTGAGTTAGAGGGAGGGAGGGGGACGGCGGTAACAGCATACGTAAATCACAGCGCGTGTCATGGTAATTATCTCCACCAGTGACAGACAGTCCTCCTCCAAACAAAAAGTTTGACTGCCATTTAAAAAATAACCACAGTCTCTCATTTTTGAATCACACAGAGTCTGTGGATGAAATAGGACATCCTCACGTCTCTGTCGTATTAAATGGATGATGAGGAGGGGGAAAAACCGCAGATCCGCCTATGCTGCCCGCTTCCTCTTAGCCTGCCAACCTCCCACTGACCTAGCCGTTAATTTGCAGTACAAACGCTCTCTGATCTCAGGGTTTCTGATCCTCAAGTGAATCATTATATGGCTTCACCAGAGTTCCCTATTGAATGTCAAGTGTCTCCAGTTTGTGAAATGACCTCTATTTCAGCCTTGGTCAGAGACACACGTGCAGCGTCTCACCGAGGAGCAAACTCCTTTGGTGGAAATATATTGTGCACGTTGAAGTAAATTGTGTATTTGGCATCGAACGTATATCAGGGGATTTTTATAGGTGCTGCTTCTTTTTTCACTTTTGGCTTTTCGTCTCGCCATCTCTGTCTCTCACCATCTCTTCTCCTTCCTGTATTTCTGCCTCTTTTATCATCTGTTTTTCTCATCAATCTTTCCGCACACCAGGGGTTATAAAGACAGCCTTGCCCAACATGGACAGAGAGGTGAAGGAACAGTACCAGGTATTAATCCAGGCCAAGGACATGGGGGGCCAACTGGGGGGGCTGGCCGGCACCACCACCGTCAACATCACCCTCAGCGATGTCAACGATAACCCGCCCCGGTTCTCGAAAAGTAAGTCGATGTTTTTAAATATAACGGCAGTTCGACAGCATCAACTTAAATATTTTGGAAAGCAGAAATAAAGCTGATGACCTCTTAGCTTGACACATTTTATGATAACGAGATAAACACTGAGCAATTACAGCAGGGCAGGGGGTCTGCATCATTTCTACTCTTTGTAATTGGTTTTCATTATTTGTCATTATGCTTCATCGTAAGCAAAGGTCTGTTTATTTAGCGTGATTGCATCTGCAGCTACTACTCCGGGCAAATGAGTCAGGATTGGTGTTATTTCACTCTCTGGGCTTCTGTCTATATTTAGATCAGGTCTGAGTGTGATGGTGCTGCACCGGGGATTGAGTCAGTGTATTTAAACACTGTATTTTATCCCATATTTTATATAAGCTGCTAAAGCAGATTAATTTGATTGCACTGTTCACCGCAGGTCACGTAAAAAGCCAAGCTGGAATCACAGCGATAAACTCATTGATCTGTGAAGGCCTTTCTACATATATTTAAAAAGCAGAAATATTAAACTCTGTGCAAAATGTCTTCCTTTCAAAAGCAGCAGGAAAAGCAGAAAAACAGCTCTGCACTAACGCGCTCCCTGCAGGTATTGTGAGATGACACCGGGTGGTTTCCTCTGAATGTAAATTCAGGCCGTCAGATGGTCAAGCTCCTTTGGCCGTGTGTAAAAGATGATATTTCCATAATGCTGTCACAGCACAGAGGTCTGGGCCAAGTGTGTTGGCTCCTCTGCCCTGTCCCAAAGCCTCTCTTTGTCCTCTCCTCTGTCTGCAGACCCCCTCAGATGTTTCAGTTTACATATTTCATAGTTGCAGGAAACCTCCGCACATCTCTCTTTCTCTCTCTTGTTATTATAGATTATGCATTTGCGAACAGTCAATCTCTTAAACCTCCATGATGGCACCAGAGGGGGTTGCAGCTGCCTGCAGAGGTCATGAGTAATGGTGGTGTATTGTGCCTTAATCTGCCTGTGCCTGATTATCCTAGAAGCTTGTTTACCTACTGACTGACTGACTGATGCCATCCAGGCAGCTGCTTGTTAACTTTTCCACTTTGACACTGGAGCTATTGAAAAGAAAAGTTGCCGTTCTTCTCCTTGCAAGGACATGAACCTTAAAGGACTTTTTAAAAATTAATGCATGTCCTTGAATGTACTTGATTATTTATTGAAATTATAGCACCCAAATTCATCCATATGCCTCGGCTCCCCTCTCTAAATCCCAGGATCAACACGGAGGAAAAGCCCAAGATCCACAGAAAAATGGTCGAATGGCAAATGAGCAGTGCAATTACATGAACGGTACATGACAGGGGGCGACCAGGTGGTGGACCACACACGGCTTGAGCAGCAGGTCGCTGGTTCGATCCTTTCTCTCACCCCATTCCCTGTTTCTCTTTCACTGTCACAATACAACAAGTCAAATGGAAATATCCCAAAGAATGGAGCATGATGGCGACACCAGTCTCTTGTGGTGAAGCACGACCCCCATCATGTTTTCAGAACAGGTTTGATTTGCTGCGTTTTGTCGCTTGTTGTTTTCTCCTTTTTAATGTGCGGTCTCAGTGCTGCTAGGAAATCAGGCTGGACCCCTGACGTCATGAAATAGACTCTGAAGCAATGAATAAGGGCGTTTTGGTTTTGTTTCATTCATTTTAGTTTAGTCCTTGGCTGAGCCAAAGAGAAACATCCTCTTTTATTCTTTCTTCAACCCGCTGACACTCTGGATTATTGTCATCATTTTTTGATCATCCTTCTCAAACTCACCTTTGTGTGTCAGAAAGAGAAGAAATTAATAGAGACCAGCACATTCCTTTCTCCAGGAGCCTCTTTAAAGACTCTCGAAATGTCTCTCATTTAATCATAACTGATTCTCAAGTCAAGGTGGTGCGATCTCTGACATCGCACCACGAAAAGTAAAGTTAAAAAGTAAAGTCTCAATGATTCGCTATGTCGAGTCTTATCCAAAAGCATTCAGAGTCCTGAGGGCAAAGTAATATGCTGCTTCCCACAGCTGCAGAGGCAGACGTCATTGTTTGAACAGCTGTTCATTGCAGAGAGTGAAGAAGATTAAATCCTGTCCATTGTCAAGTGTAAGTGATAATCAAGCAATCCAGTGTTTGTTGGTTTGCAGATTTCTCTCCCCTAAGTCCTCAGCAGTGATTTCTGTTATCAGGGATAGTGGAGCCCCATGGGCCCGTGTGCTTGTTGATCTTACAGGTTGAACCAGCCAATTATAAGGAGCTGAGCAGCCTTGATGTCCAGACACATAAAAATTGAATAATGTCATGCCTGTAGCTACAGGCCTGACTTCAGACAGAGAGCGTATCCGCTACTTGCCCGTGGGTGTATAAGACTTCCACTGGTGGGAGAGAGACTACATAAAAGACAGAGGCTGGGAAAACTCAGTGTTTCCGTGTGATGTCAAGAGATGATCATGAATGAGTCGTAGTCTGGTCTGATTGTTCGTTGTGTAACGTTCACAGGTTTCTTTCACCTGAGAGTTCCCGAGTCGTCTGCAGTGGGGTCGGCCGTGGGAAGAATCAAGGCCCATGACCTGGACATCGGGAGGAATGCCGAAGTAGAGTACACCATCGTGCCAGGTGATGGAGGTGCCATGTTCGACATCACCACCAATAGCCACAACCAAGAGGGGATCATCATTCTCAAAAAGGTATGAAGACACAGGAAGTTAAAGCTGAAAGAAAGTCTGAGTAGACAGCACAAAGAAATAGAGGTTGTTAAAAAAAATCTATCATGAGATTTAAATTTCATGTAGAGCTCACAGTCAGTTCAGCAATAATTCATCTGTTTTTTCAGTCTTTCCTCTTTTCTTTCTTCCATTTGATATTAAGCTGCTGTTGATGAAGACCAAAGCTTCCTGTTGACCTTTCATGTTAAAAGCCCACCAATATATGGGGAGTATGGAAGGCTTTTAATGTGAAATATTTGCTTTAAGTGTGACACATTGTATGAAATGGTTAAAAACATGCTTTTCAGTTAGAGAAGAATAACAAAATCCCAAATCCCATCAGACCTTGATATATTCATTTCAATTAAATTGTATTTATCGCACTAAATCATAATGTCCATTATCTCGGGGGGCACTTTACATAGTGAGGTCGAGACCTTACTATCCTACCAGCATGTTATCAAATCTGACAATGTGAAAAATGTAATTAAAAATAGACGTATAACAAGGTGTATCACAGAATAATCCCTGAGAGCAAAGGGAAATGAAGGACAATTACTGCTGGTGACAAATGATATATATATATATATATAACTTTCCATACATACATAGCCTACCTCAGCAACTTGGAGGAGGCATGTGTTCTGCACCTGGGGGATTGTGGGTGTTGCTGCTCTCCTAACACCCCTTCATCCCACAGGTATGTCATCCTATGTGTTATATTTACACCTAGAAACTGCATAGTGTTACTACTCCACTGTGTGCCACTGGAGCCCCATGGAACGATACCTTTGGAGTGTATTTTAGTGAGACACATTTTACAATTTACATATGGATAGTAAGAATAATATATAGAAAATAAATTATAATAGCTGTGCAGAAAGTGTCTCAGCAGGAAACTTGGATACGAGGACTGAACTATGATCCTTCAGTTGTGTGATGTTGCGCTCTAACTATTTGTCTCCTTGCGGAACGTACCTTAAAGCACAGTTCTGAGCAAAGGCATTACTCTCTGTGAGCGACTGTGCTATATGAAGCATTCACTCAGCGTCTCAGGGCTCATTTACCATGCCACATGTTCCTTTTGCGGCGTGGATTAATATATCCAGCGTGGAGTGACCCACAGCAAGAGGTCCTGGTCTGTGGTTGTACTTTCTTTGAAGCACAGAGAAAAAACTGTCTCATTTAATACCAACTTTTCACCACATACGGCATCTGCAGAGCCACGATATCACTTCACAAAGTGGCAAGTGGCACAAAAGCATGGTTGATATCAGGGAGAAATTTATTACTCCTCGGTTAATCCCCTTGAGATCTTTCATCTCATTTTCAAAGGGGACCCACGACTGCTAGAGGTGAAGAAAAAGGACGTTTCAGCCACAGCCTAAAATTAGACAGCGGAATAGAGTGGTCCAGTCACTGCAACGAGTACTTATCTACTAAATAGCTCGGCTATAATAAGATTTCTTATGAAATCAATTATTAACTTTAGCCTATATATTAAAAAATTATAAAGCTCTGTTCCAAAATCCAGTTCATTAAATAATATCATGACCTTAATGTCCTCAGGACCATAGGACTGAATTAATGACTGAATGATGGAGGTTTTATCTAAATAATGCCAATAATAACTGTACAGCTTCTGAAGTTTGATAAGAAGACATTGAAAGAGCTTCACAACTGCTCTATAAATAAGCCAGACAGTCGTCTTTTATAAAGTACTCATGATGTATTGGTTTATTTTGTGAAAAATATCCCCATTAAAAGGTGTTCCCCTCATTTGTGTACATTCCCAGCTCTGTCGAGACACTTTCCTAGTCAAAGACTTGACGCTCCATCATGGCCACAAACACACTAAATAAAAATAATATCATTGTTCTACCCACGGGCTCGACTGTGCAAAGCAGGAGTGGGATATTATGTCTCTTTAGACACAGAACGCTTTCAGCTCAGTGACAGTGGGTGGGTAATGTGCATTTATGAAAGCTGCATGGGAAAAAGAATGAAAGAATCCGTGTGGGGTCTCGTCAAGGTTTCAGGGGGTTTATGCTCTTAAGACTCACACCTACTTCTACAGCTGCGGAATAAAAGAGCATTGATTAAATAATTTGTATTTATAAAAATCATCCTTAAACCGGCTTCTCGTGTTCGTTTGGTCGGATTAATCTCAATGCAAGACGAATCTTGAGAGTTTTAAAAGCTATTACGTCTCACTGCCGTTTCGTCAATGTCTTGAATGAGCCATACTATGTAATGCCAAACTATACGAGTGCACCTGAGCAATTCCTTGTGTCCTCGGCTCTCACACACGTGCAAAACACGCAGAAATCGAACCTTTAAGTCTGCCTTTGTGTTACGTTCTCAGACGGACGACCACACACAAGCCCTGGCACATTGATTCCTTCATTCTCTACACTGCACTTCCCTTTGGCAGGATGCTGTAGACCCCCGTGGTGGGTTTAAATGCCATTTGTTGTCAGCGCTATTTAGGTTCAATGGAAGAAACGAAAAGAACTGCAGAGCAATGCTACGTTTGCATAACGCAACAATTGCAAAATGTCAGTGTGACGAAGGAGAAAAATATAAACGTCAGGATGGGAAGTTGTTTGGTGAGTGATGCTCTGTGGTGCACCAATAAGATGGATTTACCTTCCTGGAAAGAGTTCTCTGCTTATTTTCACAAAATACTGTTTGAGACTTAGGTAGAAATTATATCTTGAGATTGTGTCATCGTTTCCAACAAAATGAACCGATGTGTAATTTTATGAACGACTCATTCTGCTTTCCTGTGACACCAGCAATAATTTAGTGAAAGCAAACATTCATATTTACCAATAACTATAACTAATATCATTTTAATTTGTTTAATCATGCAGCTGTTGTTGCTCTCATTCAGTACCAGGCCATTTGCTGCATATAAAGATGGATGACGTGTGTCCACTTGGCCCAACCTCAATTATTAAGTGTAATAAGGCACCTTCTATTTGTCTAGTTGTACAAAAATAAAGCCCAAAACTTCAGGATACAGGTTCCACCATCTTGTATTTGGTCAATAAAACTGGAAAAGCACAATATAAACACATTTAATTTCCTATTAATAGTGTGTTTGTTATTATAACCATGACAGGGAAGGTCCTCTTACCTTACGGACTTACTTATTTAACCAAAACATGATAATCTCCTAAACGTAACCGTGACCTTGGTGTGTGCATTAAGTGCTGCTTGTATCTATAGGTTGCATCTGATGTTAGGGACAAAACAGAAGTTTAAGATTTAACAACTTCCAACAAACTGTTGTATTTTGAATGCAGAAAACAACAGCTATCAATTGTATTTACCACAAAACCTCAAAACTTTGAGGCTGTTTACACATATTCCCTTTTGGAAGATAAAAAAAAAAGTGTTTTTCTCATTAAATCTGACCTTTTCCGTACAAATTAAAAAATAATTTAAAGCAGTGGCTGATATACGTGTTTTTGTCACTCGGGTCATTTTCAGACAGACACCATAATTTTATATGATTGCAAAAGTAATAGAGAAAAATGTTTTTACTACTTCTATGTGGGTTTGTGTCTTTCAGGCTTTTTCTGATGTAAGTGCCTCAAATGTTTTTTTGTTTTTTTTTTCGAAGGAGAATGCAAATTAGCATTTGTTTTTCTGATCTATCAGACTAAGGTATTCGTTAACTGGAACATTTTTAGAACATGCCCCTGCACACAAGCGCACAAAAGGTGTGTGATTCTTTGATCCCACAAAAATATGCAGCTGAGTGGGTAATTGGTTCTCAGCTCAGCGTCAGACCTCCCTCAGTACTCTCCTACAAACACCTCTGTCTGTAAATCATGCATGTGTGCATGTTTACACCGCACTGAATTTATGAATGGTGCTTATAGTCACAGCTATATATCACGGTATAGCGACCTTCTCATTTGGCACTAATGGAATAACAGAATGAGACAGAAAGCAATTATGATGTAAATGAATACAGTTATTTGTTTGTGTCATGTATACCCTGGATGGATGGCCAGGATGCATCTTTCCTCTAATTGTTTTACTTCCAGTGTTTGATGCGCTGCCATAACGACAATGAGGCAGTGTGATATATTCCCCACAGTGGGACACGGCTGCACAAAGCCATTGTTAGTGAGGGACATTGTAAGCCACTCTAACTGACCAAGCACCCCCTGCGGTGTGACTTACCAAACAACATGTGATCCTACACATGTGAGCGTGGGATATGGCAGGACACGGAGAGCTGTAAGAACGAGAGGAGGAGAGGAAGAACGAGCCGTGCCTGGAAAAGGTGCTTGGAGTCGGTAGCTGGAGATGAGTTGTTCACTGTGTTCCCAGAATACTGACCCGCCCACAGACTTGTCTTATTTCAGATTGGTAGAATATCCCCAGAGACAGGTGTGCAAATGTGTGCAGACAATCTTTCTCTCTAACGCTCTCCCCCTCTCTTTCTCTCTCTCTCTCCGTCTGTTTCTTTCTCTCTTGACTTGCCTCCCTCAAACACACACACACACACAGACACACATACATTGATAATAAAAACACACACGCACATGGGGAAAGAGACGAAAGCCACATTGTACACAGAATTTGGCAGACCCCAAATTAGAGACTCAGGAAGGTTGGTTATGATAAGAGGATCAGGCTGAGTAATGGGTTCAAAGGATGATCATCTGTTTCCCAGTCTGCCGACACAGAAGGGGAGAAAAAAGAGGCACGGCGGCATGGAGGGGGTTTGCACATCCCATCTGCAAAACATAAGATTATACGAGACAATAGGTAAATCCACCAATGAATTCCCCGGGAACGTGCAGACAAATGTGCACACACAGAGCGACATACTGTACATGAAAAAGCATGTGGAAGCACAAGGCTGTGTTCAAACGGTGCCATACATGAGTTACAGGGAGAGCCAGAGAACTCCCACACCTTGAGAGGGCCCAGAATGATAACCTTGGGTTGTGTTAAAG